GTTACTGACTGCTAGTACCAAGAGTGTTAATTGTGGATCAAAGTAAGATGAAGTTGTTGATAGTTTCAAGCTTTTCTTCATCCAACATGATGTTACCTACCGGTCCAGTGGTAATAATCTTTGTTGTTGTTTTTTTATATTGAGATGCAATCTATATTTAAGATTGTATTCTTCTACCTTCTGCAATAAGTGTATCTCCAGGAAGCATAAAAAGATGGAGGGAATACACAGAGACACTGTACCAGAAAAACCTGACTTGACATTGAAAATTTTTAGGAAGTACCATATGAGGAAGAACCAATGGTAATGAAAGAGAAAGGTGAAGCTGCATTGAAGGTATTTGCAAAAAACAAAAACCAAACAAAAGACCCCAGTAATTGACGAGATACCATATAACTTGTTTGAATTAACAGATGAAGCCCTGGATGCACTCACCAGTCTATGCCAGGAAATTTGTAGGACAGCTGTCTTGCCAACAGATTGGAGGAGAGGTCTATATCTGCTCCCATTCCCAAGAAGGGTGATCCAACAGAATATAGAAACTATCAAACAATATTGCTAATATCACATTCAAGCAAAACACTGCTGAAGATTACTAAAATACAGCTAGAATAGTACCTACATAGGGACCTGCCAGAAGTTCAAGCAGGATTTAGAAGAGGCTGAGGTACCAGAGATATCATTACTGATATCAGATGATCTTGGCTGAAAGTAAAGGGTACCAGAAGAATGTCTATGGTTTGTAGACTATGCAAAGGCATTTGACTGTGTAGATCATAACAAGTTATGGCTAAACTTTGAAAATTTGGAATTTCAGAGCACTTAATTGTGCTTATGTAAAACCTCTACCTAGACCAGAGGCTGCTGTGTGAACAGAGCAGGGGAACACTGTTGTTGTTGTTGTTAGGTGCCCTTCAGTCAAGTATGACTCATAACGACCTTATGAACAAAATATCTGAACCCCGTTCTATTCTGTGCCATCCTCACACTTCCTGACACGTAAGAGCCCATTGCTGCAGTCACCATGTTAATCCACCTGGTTGAGGATCTTCCTTTTCTTCACCGACTCACCATCCTACCCAGCAACATGTCCAAAGTATGTGAGGCAAAGTTTCATCATTCTTGCTCGCTGCACTTTCTCCAAGACATCTGTTTGTTCTCCTGGCTGTCCATGGTATGTTCAATGCTCTTCTCCAAAACCACCGCTCAAAGGTGTCAATTTTTCTATTATCTTTATTCATTGTCCAGCCCTCAGATGCAAAGCAAGTGATCGAAAAGACTATGGCCTGAATCAGACACACCTTAGTCTTCAAATGGACATTATTACTCCTCAATAATTTGGAGAAATCCCTAACTGCAGATTTTCCCAGTGCAATGCATCTCCTTATTTCCTGGCGGCAGATACAAAGGGTGTTAATTGTGGATCCAATCAAGATGAAGCTTCTGACAGTTTCAGTCTCCTATGTGGTTTAAGAAAATTAAGAAGGGAATGTGTCAGTGTTATATTCTTTCTCTGTAACTATTAAAACTGTTGTTGTTGTTATGTGCCATCAAGTCGCTTGCGACTTGTAGCGACCCTATGTACAACAGCCCTAAACCCTGCTCTGTCCTGTGCCAAACTGACTGCCTCTGACACACCCATCCCGATTACTCCAGTCACTGAATCAATCCACCTCATAGAGGGTCTTCCCCTTCTGCGCCGTCCCTCCACCCTCCCAAGCATGATGTCCCTCTCCAAGGACCTCTCCCTCCTTACAACATGTCCAAAGTATGTTAGATGAAGCCTCAGAATC